TTCTATCTGCTTTAGTACAACACCAGTATTACCAAATCTTTACTATTGCTGCAAGAGTGACTCAGCCCCAGTCTCCTTCCTGTCTACTCATCGAGGATTATTGTGGAATTGTTACTGAAAATTATATTAAATGGGAATTTTACTTTAATTACGATGTAGTGCTACATCTTCTGTTAGAAGCAGCCTGTTCTGTTCTTAGCACCTATGAAATAGAAAATAAGTGTTCCCAACCTGTGTCACAGAAGCAGTGTATTTTACTTTTGCTCATCTTTTTTTGGCAGGTACAAACAAGACTTCAGACATTCGTTTCTAGCCTGCAACAGAAAACAAGTGAGATTGAGATTTTAGCAGTAAGTATTTGGCAGAAGCCTGAAGTAATTTAAAATTCTTAATTGAACTGGATGATGCAGTTGCTATCTGGAACAAACTACTGACAATAGCCTTGCTTTAGAGATACCAAGTGAACCAAACTGCTGGTTAAATAAGATCCATGGCATGTTTCTGTAATACTTGAAAAGTATCTCAAATCATGTATATTGGATAGTTGCATAGAACAAAATTTAACAAGTATTTATTGTAAATTCTTAAGCTGTCCTTATGGGTAACTACTGTGGTAGATTTGGTAACTTGTTTCTGCTAGATTTGCTCTTGTGTTTTAACTAACATAGCTGCTGTTTGTAGATAGCTTTCAGACTTTGCTGACCATGTTACAAAGGACTTTAAAATGGTGTATACTTTTCAGGAAACATATTGCCTATTTGCCTACGCCTGTTTAGAACTTTCCATAGTCAAATCTGTTATGAAGAGATCAAGCTTAAAACTTTGGTAAATTCCAGTTCTATCAGCACGAGTCCTTCTTTGGAAATCAAAAAGTCTGACTCCCTTCAGTATAGCTAATCTCTAATTGGCAAACTGGTAACAGAAGAACTGTTAAATACCGATTTCTTGATGACGTTTTTACAGGTAGATCTGCCAAAAGCAACTGTGATACATTTCTTATCATTAGAGGTAAGCAATTAAGTATTGTTGCTGAAACTCTAATTGAATGGTAGATGATTCTCTTCCTAATGAAGTAGCATGTAAAATTCACCCATTGTAGTTTTTTCTCCTCAAGGAGTTTGAATTGGGTTTTAAAACTTGAAAGGATTTTTTTTTTTAAACTAAAAGAGCTTGACTGTGGCTAGAAAAATCTTTTTGTCAAATGCCCAAGTTATACAAGACACCATTAAGAAGTCCTAATCCACAGCTCTGTTTTTCTCAAGAATAGTTAACTGAAATTAAGTCTTAACTGCTTATTTTCAGAAACCAATAAGCATTAGTAGCCATTTCAACAAAGGTGTTTCTTGAAGCTGTCCATGAAGGAGGATCTAAACCAGAGGCAATTGTTTCAAGTACAGTAGCTGAAACATATCTTAGTGAAGCTGAGATAAAAAGGGGATGTATAAGTATTATACTGACACCTTTAACAACTCAAAAACTGCTTGATAAAGGGTAAAAAACCACCAAAGACAAAGCTCTTTTCTTTCCTCCAATGACAGCAGAAGTTTTAAAGTCAGAAGTCCTTATTATAGAGATAGACACCTTCCCACCTCCAAAAAAAGCAAACTCAGGAATGGCCTGGAGGGGATTTAGTACTTTCATACCTTGTATCTGCCGCTCTGAAGTGGTGCTTGTCTGGTAGTCAGACCCCAGTGAAACCATTTGAAAAGTATTTTGAAAATACAGTTCATCCAGTCTATACAAATCATGCAGATGGGGTGTGCAGGTTTTTTTACGGTGATAAAAGTATCAGCTCATATTACTCACTTTTGACCACCCTTACACCACAGTTCTCATTCTGTCCAGCGTTGCTAAACTGATAGAGCCTCTTTTATTGCTTATGCCTTTTTAATGCTGAACTATCTGTGTTAATAAACTGATGACAATTCTTTGTACGTTTTCTTAAAAAAAAAAAAAATCAAGTTGCACACGTTGCTTGCATGAATTTTGTTTGAAACCTTTTTAATAACCTGTTTAATTAAGGAGAAGTAACATTACACAACGTTCAGAAAACTGAATCCTAGCCAGAGAAGTATTTCCTAGATGAGAGAATGTAAGACTATCATAGTTCCTTGTCAATTTTTTTTCTTAGTTTGATGGAGACAGACAAGCCTTTGATGCTACTGTGAGACAACTGATGTCACGATGGCCAAAACAGAGATGTTCATACTTACAAGCAATTTGTGATGATATTTACAGTATCAAAATGGAAAAGAGGTAAATTTGTTAAGCTCTTACAGGTACATAACATCTCAGTTATTTCTGCATTCAAACTTTACTAAATAAGCTGCTCTTAACTTGTCTTCCCCTTTCCCTCTCCTTGAGAGGGAGAAATAAGAAATACTTGGGAAATGTGTGTACTTCCTTGACTGCTATTTTTCACTAACATGAAACAAACGGGGAAGAGTTTTTGGCCATGTAAATTCTTCACTTTTATAAGCCTTTTCAAGAAATTCTAAAATGTATTCCCACTGTTACCTTATTTGCTGTTTGGTTCATAAAACTTAATAGCAAACTACTACATACATTCAGGTATACTGCTATTCTACTACGTAGTTACCCTCTTTTCTCATGGGAGGGACTCCAGCTTGCCTTTTGAAGCTGATGAGTGCATTTAATTCCTCCTGCTTTGAGGGAATACGATGGGAATCTGGCACAGCTGACAGACAACCCAGCTTTAAGCAAACACAATGCATGCTCTCACACCATGTACAGTAAAGCTCATTTCTGTCGACCAAGTATAAAAACATTTATGTTCAACTCAGCCTCCTTGTTGGATTCTGGCAAGGCTGAAACAGATAGTCTGAGCACATCCAGTTTTAAGCCTCAAGTTTTCAACTCTTGCATGTACTGGTCCAGCTGAGTGAGATGTGGGTGTTTATGTCCTATTTTCTTAAACCTCTGTTTAGCTTGAAGGTACTAATTAACCTTAAAATGAGACTAAAAATTGGCTTTGCACCTCTAAGAAAAAGGAATCACTGAAATTGCTTCAGGTTTGCTAACCTTTAGTAAGGCAACTAAGTATCAAGTGAAACATTTTTTCCTTCCTGTGGCTTGCAAGGCTGTGAGCAACAGACCCCAATCAGTACATGCAAATGTTCTATATAGTGCTGGGTGTGAATATAATGCAGTCCCTGAGAAAGTCTTCCTTTCCCATTTGAGCCGTGCACACAACACACTGCTTAGCCATAAGCCTTCAGATCACTGAATGAAAACTAAACAGGCTAGATAAATGGAAAGAACGGGGAAAACGGCAGTCACAGCCAAAGGAACGAAGACTTCCTGCTTTTCTGCTGAATCTTTGCTGTTAGCTTATTGCTAAGATTTGCCACAGGCTTTGTAGCTTTTGAACCTGCAGTTTCAAAGTTTAAAAATCCTCTTTTCCTCCCCTCCACAGGGTTCCAGCACTTATCCTGTACAGTTACCGAGACGACTACAAGGTTTTGTTTTAGTGCTTAGAGCATCTTTTATGGGATGCTTTTATCAGCAGACAGCAGTGTTTTGTCAAAAGGAGTTTCAAAAAGCTGCAGTAATGCAAGACAGGCAACTAATGCCTTTTTATGTGTCCAGATTGAATTTCATGTAATATAAAACTGTAAATTTACGTCAAAAAGTAGAAATAAATGTTTTATAGGTACTTAAGGAGCAAGTCTGACTACAGCCAGAGACGTGTATTATCATTTAATTCTTGCCTCTTTATGCCACAAAAGAGATTGTCAGCTGTGCAGGCGTAAAACTGCTTTTTCTTTTTAAATACAGTTTCAGAATGCCTTTTATGTCAATATGCAACAGTAACACTGAAATGAGAAACTCGGTTCAAGGATGAGGGAAGATGAATTATCTTCAGCTCTAACAAACTGTTTTAAACTTTTTTGAAGAAGTGTTTTTATGTAATAAAAAGTTTGGCTACTGAGCCTTCTTGAAGCTCTTTGTGTGGTGTTTTTTTAAAAAACCTGTTGTTTTCATTTCTATATAAAAGATGGTATATTTCAAGCTGAGAGAGTTGTTGCAAGCCTGGCTGCCTGTGCTTGTCCTGCAGCAGCTTCCTGGGAGGTGAAGTAAGACCTGATACAGGAAAAACTTGTTTCAGACCTAAACCTAAGACTTTTAAAGAGAAACAGTAACCTGCATGTGCTCGAGGCATAACTAAAGTCTTGAACTAGCTTTCTTCACAGGGGTGGTCAGATTAAGTTTGAAGTTAAAGTCATAGTAATGGTGGGAATCCTATAATTATCTTCTTGAAGCTAGAAGGGTAACAGCCCCATCAGTAAAAGTGAAGCTGAGCAAATCTGAAGATGGGTTACAGCAGCCATAGTTAACTATGCATTGTATTTCACATCCAGCTACTTATAATATGGGAACATATATGCAAAAGTTAGGAATTTCGGGAAATACTGTTTATCCTCCCTCCCCACCTGCTACCTTCTGTTTAAACAGCTTACTCGTGTTTCTCCAACTCAACTGATTGCCTTTAGCGCTGGAGGCTCATTGCCTTAAGAAATACCTACTTCCTTTTTCTGCTCTTTTCTTGTAGTAAAGAGCACGGCGAAGTTAAAATACGTGAAGAGGTAACTTTAAAAACCCAAGAACTTCTGAGAACTGTGAAAGTTGTAACAGCAACACACAACGTAGTACCAGGGGAGTCAGTCCTAAAGCCACAGATAACCATACCCTTCCTGGCCATTTACCAAGACAAGTCACATCAGTCATTAACAACCAAATCCATTTCTCATTTGTGTTTTAATAGGAACAATTAAGTATTCACCTTTTACATCTGCTCATAGGAAGGATCTACTTTAAGATGTCAAGTATGGGGAAATTCAGATCACTGAATATACTGAAGGATGAAGCTTGGGGGAGGAGTTTAGGTGACATGAGCATTTTTAAGCCATGTCTGAAGGGAACGTGATGCAGAGTCCTGCCGTCCCCCCACCCTGCGCCAGGGTCAGCACAGCTCAATCAGCACAGAGCAAAGGCGCAGCTGCCTGGCTCTGCAAGAGCTCGAGCCCTGTGCTGGCTGCCTCAGGGGTATCTGCACTGCAGCATGTAGACCTGTTCCCCCTCAAAATAAAAGACAGAAACAGGAAGTCAGCTGTTCCTGATAATACGTTGGCACCCGCTTTCCCTAGTACTGCTGAGGCTTATCTATAGAACTGGGCATCTGTCGCTCCTGCTCCAGTCTTACTTTGCTCATGGTACAGCGCATTTCTCTTCATCCTGTTACCCTCCGAACAGGTTTTACAGTGCCCACTTGTATAATACAAAACAAACAGCAGTACAAGTACAAAATTAGTTGGCAGCTGAGTGTAAAGCTGTTTCAGTAAAAGCCTGTAAATAGTCCTGCCATACAACAACCCACAGAAAGCACCTTCTGCTTTCAGTTTAAACAAAAGTACTGATCACATTCCAGTATCCTGCTGGAAGGAAAGCCAAAGACACGTAGTAACTCAAAAAGAAATGGACTTTGCTTTGAGCAAGGGTCAAGTCTGTTACAGTGGTGGCAGGACACTGTTCCATCACTGTGTTGCTTTACTCTTCTTGGTTTTGCTTTTCTTGTCTTTTTTCTTCAGGCCATCCATGTTAGCTCTCAGCAAATTTGAATATGCCTGAAACAACAATAGGAACCATTAAAAGAACAAATACTTAAGTGACAGTGTACTAGAGGTAGCGTTTTACATATTGCTAATGGATAGGAATCTGCATTTTCTCAGAGAATCAGGGTCTTACACCCTACACTGGGAAACTACTGTTTCTAAACCAATGCAAAAAGCTAGATAAAATACAACGGGATTTTTTTTTTAAACAAATACAGATAGATGAAGAGTCTAAGGTTAATCCGTATGCCAGTTCAGCATGAATCAACCCGTTAACAGCTGTCCAGTGCTTCCTACTGGCCACTCCCCAATACCTACAGAATAGGAAGACAAAAGGCATATAAAACTTACCATCTGGAATTTATTTACTTCCTTTGAGCTCACCTACAAAAGTAATACTGGAGGTTAACCAAGACAACACGGGCTTCTACTACAAACCAAGTATCAATATGTTTTTACCCACCAGTGACCATCTAGTCTTTTCAGCAGCAGTTGGGTCAACTCGTCACGTTGAATGGTAGGTAGGCTGTACTGACATGTCACAGGACTTGACTGATTTAGAAAACTGAAAACACTCCTCACTCAATTAACAAAATCCTCTGCAGACCATTCATCCCAAATCCATGTGTTGTCAAATGGGAAGAATGCGAAGAAACAAACTCAAAACACAACAGCCAAGGTTGCTGAGAGCAGACAGAGTCCCTTTCTGCTGTCTTGCAATACCACTCTGATGCAAAATCCGGCATACAGAGCAAAACTGTGAACTACTGTCCCATCTGTAATACTGAGTGTAAGCATTAAGACTTCAGGTAAGTGTAACACTTTAGCATCCCAACTTCAGCTGTGTGTTTAGCTACCACGTGGTTTCTCTGGAATTACGAGGGCACTTCTCATGAAATTCATGTGAAGGCAAATTTCACTTAAAATGTGGTCGTTAAATAAAAGACAAGTAGGGCTGCTAATCTTTCTAACCCAAAGTTGTCACTTACCACTGTGCTAATTTTCTTCTTGCCATCAGTTGCCCTTAGAAGACACTTATTGTCTGCTGGTTCAAAACTTTCTACGTGGCCTTTGCGTGGGACTGGTTTTGTTCGGCCATCATCTGTATTGAAAGACAGAGAATGTTTATTCGTATTTCACTAAAAGTCACCAGATGTCTCCTGACAGGAGATGTTAAAAATTGCTCGTGGCAAGATCTGTAAAACACCTTGGAATTTAGGGCCAGCTGAACTCACATTGCTGCCCCATTGTTCACAGACCCCTTCCCCTGTAAGCCCAGAAGGATCTCTTCCATAAACTACATCTGCTGGGGGGAGAAAAAAAAAAGGAAATCCTTGCCCTGACACGCTGCTGAGCTGCCTGCTTCAGCAGCAGCATGTTTTAAATGCACGTCAAACGTCAGCTGAGGACACCTGACTTCTCGAGTAGTGCCAGCTAGCCAGAAACCAGAGAAAAAGAAACACACAAAAGCAAAACTGTAATTCTCATTTATAGAAACGTATGGATTTCGAAATATTGTTTAATAATTAGAAAGTCCAAATATTTCCTCCAGTTTTGAAACAGTCTTACTTCAAGGGTACTAGTACTGCACCACCTAAGAGGATGGATTTGTCCGTGCGACTGCTCTGTTTTCAGATACTCTGGATTACAACCGCATCTTTTAAAACACACGCTAGCGACACTAAGTTTGACTCAGATTAACGCCTTTTTAATCCAGTAACACACTTAAAACTTACATTTCTTCAGCGTTATGAAAACGCTCCCCGAAGTTCTGCACTTTTGAAAGAGTCTGGTAAGCTCTGTCAGGAACTGCAAGAGAAAGAGACCTCATCCTTGGCTGGCGGCCACTGCACAGGCGTTTATTCCTTCTCCCTGCGCAGCCCAGCGACTCGCTGCCCCAGGAGACCTGCCTCACCCCGGCGGGGCCGGTACCACATGCCGGGCTCTCCCAGTTCCGCAGGAATAAGCACCAAGCAAAAGAGAACTCCCGGTTTTCCCCGCGCAGAAGCTGTAAGACACGAGGTCCCAGCCCGAGGCTCCGACTCCGGAAAACGAGGTCTAGCCCCTCCGAGACCTGCTGCGGCCCCAGCT